CAGGACATCTTATTCAGACTGCATTTCCGATGTAGAATTGCCTTTATTTTTGTGCATTTTAGAGATGGATTAATTGATACTTTGCATGTTGTGAAAAATCTGCATTGGAAGAATAAATGTGTTTACAAATGGCTTTTATTTTTTTCTTTCTCCTTCTGAAGAATTTTATCATAATTTTATCTTTATTTTACCATAATACATATTTGCAATATTTTTTGAAGCATGAATCTTAGTGAATTCTGAACTTTCACCAAATACTTCTTCCATATAATAGAGCTTTTGCGAATATCTTGTCCCTGCATGGATTTTTTGGTAGTTGGATGATTTTCCTGCATTAAAACCATTCGATCTTAAAAGTAAACTCATAGACTATTTTAGCAGGTATATGGACTGATTGGGATATTTTGCTCTATAATATTCTGAGATGAAAAAATGAAGCAGAACCAAAAATCTGCGCCACTTGTCTCCAAGAATAGGTGCTGTTTTTGTTCTCCATATCATAACCGTAAGGGACCGTTATTTACAGTCCTCGCATTTTGCAACAGTCGGCAACAGAGCTCGCTGCACTAGCGCTGCACTTCAGTTTGCTCTTCCCACCGAATGCTTCTGGTGTGAGGCCACTTAGCAGGAAGCGTGACCTCATTCTGCTGCTGCGCTTCTCATTGCACAGTCTCGTTTCAAAGGGAAACAAGGGACTCCGTAGACCGGCCTTTCCGAAGCCTCTGTGCTGGTCTCTTCCAGGAAGCTGCCGAGGGAGCACCTACAGTTACGTCCCAGACTTGTTGATGAGAAACTTTTTTGCACCTGTTTGTTAATAGTGAAATGGATTTTCCAGGTTTGGAAGATTTTACATGTATTTGTATTTTAATACATTGGTCAGCTAAGGAGGAACTAAGTTTTGGCTAGATTTACATGCTGCTTTTGAGGAGGCTTTGCATTTTTGTGAATGTTATTATTCTACCTGCAGGGAGGGAAGAATAGAATACTCTTCAGGAGAAGACTGATATTTATGAACGAATAAAAATGTTTCATGTAGACACTTATGTTTGGAAGGTGCAAGAGGCACAGTGACTTTTTATTTTATGAGACCGAATATTTTGGTGTTTCAGGCATTCTGGAATTTCAGAACAAGGAGTGTTTTGACTTAAGCTTTGATTTGAATTCTTGACAATAAAAAAAATATATTGCTGTCTTAGATTTACTTTTAGTAAGATTTCTTAAAGGTGTTGGCTTTCTGTTGTGCCTTAGTTTAAAGGTTCCATAGTGATGTTCATTTTTGTGTTACAAATATAATCCTGTTACTTAGCCGCAGAGTGGTGATTGAGATGCTTTGTTTTGGCTTGCTAACATTGTTACTGCATCTTCTCACTCTATAGCCCAGAAATGCAACTGAGTATTAAATAAAAGCAGAGAACTGTGCGTGTGTATATAGCATGATGCTTACCTGCTTCCTCCAGTGTTCTTGCTGATCCAATTATGATTTTCAAGAATCCTGTTCACTAATGTACAAACCAAAAATGTTCACAATCAAGGATACAGAAACAACCCATCAGGCTGCCTTTTAAGCATATGATTGCTCATAGAAGCTTGACTTTAACATTACTTAAAATAGTTCAGAAGCAATTTGTGTAAACACATGACAGATAAAAATGTTACAACTGCTCATAAACTGTTCTCAAGAAACCCATCACCTCCCACTGGTATATTTACATATGTATGCTATCTCTTACTCTCTGTCATAAACATATACTCTATTTTATCTTAAGTTTTACCTCAGTGGATGGCAGCAGATAAACAAGAGTCCTCCAAAGACATATCTCGCTTGTAAATTTGTGACAATTCTAATGAGCTATGGAAAAGTTGTGGTTTGTTCTCTCACTTTATTCCATATATACCAATACTTTCTAATGAAAGCAGGGTCAGTAGGTGAGCTATTCTAAAAAGTTACTCTTTTTCAGGCATTGCTACTTTATATTATCATAACTGAGAAAATCAAGTGCAAAATAATTGTTACAGGTTTCAGTAGCAGACCCTCAGGTTATAATACAATTGCAATTTAATTAATGCTGAAGCTTTTTCTTTTTTTTTCAAGCAAATTTACCCTGAGTCAACATAGGTTTTGCCTAAGGGAAAATATTCAATGGACTATAGTATAACTAGAAATGTGATATATATTCATGATTATATCTATCTATATATATTGTTTTAGAAGCAAAACAAAACAGATCTGTCTTCCTTTCAAACCTTTTTAAAGCTTATCCTCTATCCCACGGTGAATGAAACAATCCTTTCCAAGATGCATGGAATTTCACCTGTTCTGTCAACACCAGCAGCAAGTAAATACATCACATTTGTCTGGGCTTTTGATGAAAACATGGCATAGTGGGACCTTGAGATGACTGACAAAATTTGGGATTTTGCATGCTTAGTATATACCCAGATCTACCAAGCACTTGTTGAGTTCTTGCTGTACTGTATTTTGGGGTAGTACAGCATTGAAAATCATAATTCCGTACATGATTTTGCCTACAATAGGAATTCTCTCTGGAGCTAATTGTTTGTGTAACTCAGGTCTACACCATATTGGTCTGTGAAACACATGCAGCACCCTCTTGCCTTTTGGCTGTGTGAGATTTTTATGGGTGTTGTTTTATGGGTGTTGTTTTATGGGTGTTGATTTTTATGGGTATTGTCATTGCACCTTCACCAAGTCTCTTCCAGTTGTCTTCAGACTGCTTTTGCTAGTTCTTCTCTATGGAGCATAATTATCTCCCAGGAAAGTGTTTGTTTGTTTTGTTTGTTTTTTGATTGTTTTTTGAAATGCAGGAGGAGATCTTAGGAGTGATCTGCAAAAAACACCCCAGAGAGTTTTACTTCCCACTTTGGAAACTTTGCCTGATCCCTAAACTGAGCCTTAGACCTATCCTCTCTCATAGCTGAATTATTCAGGGCATTTATTAACAATGTTGTAAGCATAATAAGCATAATAATAAGATCGAGGGAGGTGATCCTGCCCCTCTACTCAGCCCTAGTGAGGCCGCATCGGGAGTATTGTGTCCAGTTCTGGGCTCCACACTACAAGAGGGATGTGGAGCTGCTGGAGAGAGTCCAGCGCAGGGCCACAAGGATGATCAGGGGCCTGGAACATCTGCCCTATGAGGAGAGGCTGAGGGAGCTGGGCCTGTTCAGCCTGGAGAAGAGAAGGCTGAGAGGGGATCTAATCAGTGTCTATAAGTACCTCAAGGGAGGGAGTGCAGAGGATGGTGCTGGCCTCTTTTCAGTGGTGGCCACTGATAGGACTAGAGGAAATGGCCACAAACTGAAGCACCAAAAGTTCCACAGGAACTTAAGGAAAAAATTCTTAACAGTGAGGGTGACAGAGCACTGGAACAGGCTGCCCAGAGAGGTTGTGGAGTCTCCTTCTCTGGAGATCTTCAAAACCCGCTTGGACGCAGTCCTGTGCCACGTGCTCTAGGTGACCCTGCGGTCCCTTCCAACCCTAAGCATTCTATGATTCTATGATAATAATCAGCATAATAAGCATAATAATAAGATAATAATAATAACCAAAAGCTACAGGAAAGGTAAGGTAATATAGAGAAAGATCATATCTTTTATATGTCAGTGTAGTAAAATATAAATGGACAGCTATCGCTCATATTTCTTAAGAAAGATTCTGTCAGATGCTGAACATCTCTAGCACTTGGCAGACTTGAATCCTGGTAATTCACATAAATCCTATTTCCCTGTTTTCCTGTCACAATATTATTGACAAATGTTTACGAGTGTCCCCTCTCCCTGCGCCTGTTTTGCCATGTCTGCAAATATCACATGGAGGACACACTGTAATGACACTTTTGGCTCTTCCATTCCACTCTGTAACTATTGCAACACATGTACTATTTCCAGCATGAACCAGATTTCTGGGAAAATACCATTAAAATTACTGTAACTGTGACATGTCTGTGTCCCTAATAATTTCTGCTAAGATAGTAAGCTCTGCTGAGTATGGTCATGGTTAGCTCTGATTCAGCGTTGTCCTTGTTGAGGTGATATGAAACAGTTTACTGAAAACCTTATGTCTTTCCTCTATTCCTTCCTCTCTCACTCTCTCTCTATTTCTTTTTTTTTCTCCTTTAAACTCTCCATTCCTTTCCTTTTTTAACTTTATACTTTTTATTTGCTCAAGGTATCTTGACCTGTCAACTGTTTGAGCTGTCAAGAGAAATGTAACAACTTGTTATTCGGCATTTGCCTCTGCAGGTTCAAGGGTGGTTGATGCAGAACACACACATGGCCTGTCAAAACACATTTTCCCAAGGTACTGAGTAAGATTAAACTTATTTATCTTATTTTTATTTTTGGGGAGATTCCATAAAGTCCTTTTTGGGCTGCTTAGGACTTCTAGTGCTGATATTAATTTAATTACTGATTTAGATGGAAGCTCAGGAGTACTGCTGTGGAGCTTTAGAATCACTGTCTTTGCATTTTTGAGGTTTTGTAGTATCTCTATTGCACCTTCCTTCCCCTCCACTGAATGTGTGGTATCCCTCTCTGTCCTGCTGTATGGGGTACTGAAACCTGCTACTGAAACCCGTTTCAACCCCTGAGCTGGTCCAGGGTCTTCCTTTCCTCCATGGATGGCATTCTGTGGCCACTTGGAACTCAGTGTGTTGAGGGGAAAGAATTCACCGTAAGTAACTATCTGAGCTAAATAAATTTCCCACTCTAGACAAAAAAATAAAGTCTACAGCATTTCAAATTTCTGACACTACTTGCTTCTATTTCAAATATCACATAATATATTTGTCTGCTACGTTTCATTAAATGCAAAGTTAATTGCATTAGAGTGCTGGATGAAGTTATCACTGCGTATAGACTTTACACCACATAGTTATAGCTGCAGAGTTTCTGCCAGGTACCTTCAATTCTTCATTATATAGCAAGAGAACAGAGAGCAGATCAGTCCAGCCTTGCTTCAGAGGCACTTGGCTTGCGCCATGCCCAGTGACTCGGAGGAGCACAGGGCTGAAGGGTCGTGGTGGCTCCATGGAGGAGGAGTCTGGCAGTGCTCCTGGGTCCAGGAGCAGAGCTTCAGCAACGCTCCCAGGTTCGCGCTGGCTCCGTGCGTTCGTGCAAAGCTCTACCTGCCATGAGAACCAAGCTCTACTTGACTGAGAACCTCCTTAGGTCCAGAAGTAACAGCATTATCCACAAATATGTATTTTTAACCTACAGCATTACCAACCACCATTAATTGCAAGTTGATGGCATATGTAATTTATTATTACGAAAGTGTGGGTTTCCGCTATCTAGACATTTGCTAAATTAGAGGGTTTCATTTCTCTCTTACTCAGTTATGCTTGTGCTTTCCTGGACGAGGAGACTGGTGACAAGGGTTGTTCCATGAATCCGGTGACAGGCTCCCCTCTCACATGCCGCCGGAGCCCTCGGCTGCTTTCTAATGGCTACTACGTTTTGACAGAAGACAGTTTTCTGTCTGATGAAGAAGGCAACATAACATTGACACCGTCACAGACAAGTGTTGCATACAAGGAAAATTTGGTTCGGTAAGTGGACTATACACAGGTTGCTATTGTCAGTTGGCTCCACATCTCTGGACTCATCTGGAAATCCCTGTATGCCTGCCTGCATTTTGTTTGGCAAAAGATAATTTCTTACTTTTTCCTTTTTTTTTTTTTTTTTTGGTATATTAATATTTCTTAACAGAAACATCTCAACTGATTTAAACACTGCAGTGATTAAAATCACTTGAATTTCAGTCACATCTAATATTACTGTTAATACACAGTTGCTGTTGAGTTGGAGCTGTGTGTAATAAATAGAAGAAAGAGCTACAGCTGATTTTCCCAAGAAGGTGTTATCATGATATGAATAAGGAAAAAGGTGTAAAAGATAGGTTTGATCCTGGATTCCTTAGTCAGGAAAAATCTCTTCATTGCAGAAGCGTCATCAGTTTAGCATGGTATATAAAATGTAGTCCAAAAAAGCAAAAATACCATGGATTCAGATCACTCAGAATGAGATGAAATTTTCATGGATGCCATGAGATCACTCAGAGTAATATCAGAGCCTAGTAACAATAGTATTCTCTGGTATCGTAATGCCACTGTCCCAGTGGTACCACTATCATGTGGGATATACTGCCATTCTGCTAAAATATTCTCTGCCATTACTGCAATGTGCACCAGTCACTGTCAGTGCCACATCCAGGGTAAAGGAGTAAGCTCCTGACAGAGCCAGGAACAGCACCTGGGATTCTGTTTCTTTCGTTTTATTTCTGAACACATTAGAGGACTGTTTCCTGCAGGGCAAGTCTGATTCTGCTTTTTGACAATGTTTCTTCCTAGCATATTCCGGCGGAGGAAGAAAATCCGTCGCTCTCTTGCCAGTTTGTTCAGTCTCAGTGCCTCTAATTCGTGGCACAGCAGCACAGTCCTCAGCAACCTGGACTCTTCCCATGGAGATGATTCTTGGGCCGATGGATGCAGTAAACTAGAAGTCAGTCAGAGTGATATTGGTAAGTTCTGGCCGAACACTTAGTAATTTAGCCAAAACTTTATATTCTGTAAACTTTACATTAACTTTATTTTGTAAACTTTATATTAACTTTATATAAACTTTATATTTAGTGGGAAATGGATATCTTCGCACTACGAAGGCAAAGGGCAAAATGTTAACTGGTAAATTGAGTGAGTTGCATTTGTGCTCAAAGGGGATTTTTAGACTGAATTTGAATACAAAGTTACCACCAGTGAGATTTATCCCAGTGTGACTAGTAAGTGTCACTTGCTATTTTTGCCTGGCAATTTTGTATAACTTTATTGTGTAATATTTTATCCAGTTTTGTCTGTATTTAGCATGTTTTCTTCTGTGTACCTGGAACCTGCCCTAGCCATTTGGAAAACTTCCCTCAATTAAGTAATTTTTTTCTTACTGCCAATTGTCAAAGTCTTTTTCTTGTGTGAGCTGAATTGCATATGTACTTTTTATAGGTGATTCAGAGCCTTCTGAATGTAAGGGGCATGTATCACAAAGACAACATCCAGCAGCAGCAGCCAGTGGAGCCGCTCTCAGCAAAGACAAGGGGTTCATCCAGCCGAGGAAACTCTGTGCTTCACTGTCCTGCCTCCTGTTTGTGACAGATGACAATGAAGACACTTTGAGCAGTGCAGGTGCATTAAGCTCTTACCCTGATATGCTTTATTTTTGTAGCGAGCTGAAAATACTTGTGTTAAAAATGTTAAAATGGCCTTTTGCATAGCAGAATGTGTTTCAAGAAGATTTTTAAATAACTGCTTAAAAATAACAAAAATTTAAAGCAGATATTTATTTGTTTATACCGCTCCACTCACATTTTTTTCCTCTCTCATTCTCAGTGATAAAATTGAAAAAAAGTGGAGTGAGGAGTAAAATGGAGAAAAGCCTATGGTGCAAAACCAAAAAAAAAAAAAAAAAAAACAGTAATTATTCAGAAAGGCTTATTTGGTGAGAGCTTTGGAGGGTATGGTCTTTCTGTGATCACAGTGGTAAAGGACTCCTTAGAGACAATGAGAGTATGAAAATTAGGTTTCTGCTCTGAATAACTTTATTTAAACAGAGGGAAACTGAGGAGACTGGCTGTACAGGTAATGTCTTGCAAGTACTTCCTGTCATGTGTTTCCTTTATGAAAACTCATGAGAATTATTTTCTTCATTTGCTACCTTTTGTTTTAGAATCCAGGACAGTGCGAAATATTCTCTCTCAAATGGTGATTCTGATCATGTGTTTAATCATTTCAATATCCATAAGGTAATTTTTATTTCATTTTTATTGATATTCATATTTATCCCATTTCACCTGGTAAGTAAAGCATAAACAAAGGGTCACATTTGTAAAGCTATGTATGCCTTATTGTGAAAATACATTTGTACTTGGTAGCCGATGCAAACAAACATCAAAGGTATTTAGATGTGTACAAAAATAAAACTTATGAATGCAGGTATGACACCTACTTTGAAGTGTGTTTGGACAGGTCTTTTGAAAGCCTGAAAAGAATCAGACTGAATTCATGTCTTCCTTAGTCACTGGTATATGAGTTTCATCTCTGCTCTGGGAATAATGAGATCTTTATTTCTAAGATCTTTACTTGAGAGATCCTCAATAGCTTAAACATTTTTTAATTTCAAATTCCAGTTCCCCTAGGATAGTTCAGGTGTCTCTCATGTAACAAATTTTTCTCCTCTTCCTACTCATTCTTTCCCTGATTATCCTAATATAAATCAATTTCATTTTCTAATCTATGGTATTGTTTTGTTCTCAGATATTTTCTGGGAGGCTTCTCTGTGACTTTGTTGCTGATGATTTTCGTTTGTAAGTACCGATTTTCTTTATATTGAACACAATATTTTACCAAGTCACATCTGAGGAACAAACTCTGTCCTTAGATAAGTATCTACAGCTCTTACTGATATTGAAAAGAACAATCTGTGGGCATATGGGGACAGAATGAATTTTTCAATCAATCACAGATTTTTTCATTTAAATTTGACAGTTCTTTTGTCCCAAGATACTGCTGTGTCATCTTTTGTGAGTCTTGTCACATCTTTCAAAACAACTTGGTCTGGGTAAGTAGCACCAATCTAGCCTAATGGCAATTTTATATTAAAAAGAGTGAGATTCTTTCTGCTGTTTTCATGTCCTAGGATAAAAGGCATGATCTGACGTTACTGGTGAAGGACTTGGCTTTTCCTGTTACTTATTTGTATTCATATAAATTTTCTATTTTGTTGGAAAGCTGCCTTTTTGTGATTTGTAACAGCAGATATCTGTTAGCAGAAAAGAAAGATAAGCTAAAGTGCCATAACAGCCTTTTTTTGAGGAGGAGGGTGTGGGAGCTGGAAAAAATCAAAATCAGCAAGATATGCTAACCACATCAGCAAGGACATCACAAGCCACATTCAAGGACTACAGAACTGATATAACTTGGCCCAATTTACCCAAAAATAAATAATAATGAAGTCTGAAGTATATCTCTGGAGTAGCTCATACATAGGCCACCATGCTGCAAGCATGTAAGTATGTGGTAGATTTATGAATTGTCATTCCTTTGACTTTACACTCAGCAGAAAACTCTTCTGAGTGTGCAAGAATTTAAAATATTGCAGAGCCAAAATGTGTTTGGGCCTACCTGATTTTTTTTTAATGTGGTCAAAGAGAAGCTCAGAAGGACACCGTTAATGTTTCTGAAACTGGACAGGGTTCAGGGTTTGATGTATCCTGAGAGGAGCTGGTCAAATCTGGCAGATCTCTTAAAAATTGAACTCAATATGTTGGAAGTTAGGAATGACAAAGCAAAAGCTGGAAAGCTATAGTACAAGCCACACATTTTTAGTATTCAGGAGTCTTAGCACAACAGCTTAAATACTCAAGGGCAGAATGTTTCACTTTTTTGCCAGGTCATTAATCTTGGTAAAATCAATGGCACCAAGTTCTGACGGTGTTGCTAGTACATTGGGAGCAAACCCTGGCTCCAGACAAGGCATTCTGCCTTTCTCAATAGCTCAGTGCACAGTCATAAATGAAGCTGTTGTTCCCCAAATGAAAACAAATACACTGAGAGGGCTTTTCAGTCCCTGCTGTACTTCTTTTATCTTTGTCATGGGCGAGAAGTTACCTGCTCAGACAGAATACATTTGGCAAACAAGAACCTATAGATAAAGTGATTTTAGAAAGTGTGGTTTAAATCAGGATATACAAAAATGTATGCTATTTTTTTTTCCAGGAAGTAATTAGAAAGACAGAAGAATTGGTAAGTATACGTTTAAGTTGAGAAACCTAAAGGATTCCATACATTGTAGGGTGAGCTCTGTTAGGAAACACAATTCAAAATGGCAAAAAGGTTCCTTGGAACCTTTATTATAACCTTCATTAACAGCGTTTAGCTATGGGCTCTTGACCAGTTTCCACTGTGAGTTATTCCACTTTGCTCTCTAAACGTCCTCTTTGATTTCATTTGGATGAAACATTTTCTACTGCTTGACAACAGCTGCTAAAGAGTGTAAGCTGTTAAACCACCACTGCAGTTTAGCCCAGAGAAGGTCGTTTTCCGTAACAGGCAAAGCAAGTCTTCCTCAAATTTTAAACAGAAAATGAGGGCCAGGTGTTGAGCTGTTTTAATTTGGTAGCCTGCCACAGAATGAGTGAAGCAGCATTAACATGTATCAATGCAGAGTATCTGGAAAACATTATAGATCCTTCTTTTTGCTATTTCTTTGTACTGGAATTGGCTATCCCAGCCCTGAGTCCTATATTTCTTTTACTTCTTTACTCTGAAACAATATGAAGAAGGTGGGTGGGGGGGGAGAGGAATTGTGTCCAGATTTGTGTTCTTCATATTATGGATAAAACATCTGTTTTATCATCAGTTTTAATCAGTTCCCTGGATGAGTGCAGTTCAACTTCTGAGATATAAAGATGTCTTCACAGCTGCAGATGTAACTGGAAACCCTCTGAGTTAGCCCATAAAAGGATGTTCATCCTGAGAAGAAAAGATTTTGGAACTTTATGCAGGCATTTGAGCACTTTTTGCTCTTACTAAAGCCCGTAGTGAAAAAATGCATCCTGTTGACCCAGTGTGCCAAACGGTGGCACTAGATATGGCATTTCTTAAAGTCAGTGTTTACATAAGGACAGGGGCACCAGAGCTTTAAAGCTGCCTTGCATCTGGAAAGACCCGCACCAGTATCAAGCACAGCAGGTACTGCAGAACGCAGAACTTGGGCCTGTGGCCTTGCAGGAGCAAACTAGGTACAAGCTGGCATGAAACGCTGCGAGACAGGACACCGCCAGCAATGAGACCCCAAGCATTTCAAAACAAGCTTGTCTTTTATGGTCAACTTAAAGACAGAGTTGTCTCTTCTGTACATTGCAACACCAGTTCACTAACAGTTTTCATTTTTCCTTCTTCTCTAATTTATTTCCTCAGCTCTTCAATGTCAAACTACTGGATATCTATGTATGCCCGCTGTTATACATGTTTCTCTGGAAAAAAATAACAAAATTGTCAGTATTCTTCCTTCAAAACACAATTCATTTTAGTTTTTTTTGGGTGCCTGTCAAAGTTGGGTGAGGCCATTTGTCTTGGTGACTGCAAGCAGCAGTTGTGCAAAACAATTCTGTCAACGAGGCCCTATGTAGGCATGGAGTTCTGCAAGCACTGCAACAGTAATTTGATGTTAAGAATATTTAGCAATCCCTTTTAATTCATCAGCTGATCTTTTCAAATATTTTACACATGAATTTCTTGTAACAACATGCTGTTAAAGGTAACAAATTTGGACAGTGTTGGAACACATGGGGTAACAAATTTCAGAAATTTTATCGCATCATGTCTGTCACTGCCTTTTGGCCTTTGTAAAGAGAAGGAAAGGGAGAAAGAAACGTATGAAAAAGTAAAAGTTACTGCTGCCAAATTAGTGTTAGGCAGATTATTAGAGACCAGGAAGGCACTCTTGAGAAAACCAGGAAATAAGAGGTAGAAAAGCAATGACAAATCAGAACTATCTGCATTAATTTTTTTTTCTTTAAAAGAAGAGATCTGCAGCTATTGACTAGAAACACTGAGCCCTATTTTTTTTTATCTTGGATCTTTGCTACCAGAGACAAAATTAAACATAAATCCTGTGGGTAATCAAAAGTGTTATCTTGTGACTCCAAGCTCTTATCATCTGCTTCTTAAAATATCGCTTTACATGCCAGTTTCCTAGGACAGCATGGATTTCATCTTTCCATACACCAAAACGAGGATGCTGCTGCCTACCAAATCATTTTATAACTAATGCTGCTGCTAGCCTGCTTGACCCCTGCTGTGCTAAAAGCAATGTAAGCCCCAGCTCGTAAATCAGAGAGGAAATACTGTCTGTGGAAGGGCCAGGTCTGCAGATGGGACACGATCAGACCTGCTGGCCTAACAACAGGGACTTCAAAGTTCTGCAGCAAATGCCCACAAACTAAAGTGTCCTTTTCATTGGAGAAAGAATCACACAGAATCACAGAATGGCTGAGCTTGGAAGGGACCTCTAGAGATCATCTTGTCCAAGCCCCCTGCTCCAGCAGGGACACCCAGAGCACGTGGCACAGGGTGGCATCCAGGCGGGTTTTGAAGATCTCCAGAGAAGGAGACTCCACAACCTCTCTGGGCAGCCTGTTCCAGGGCTCTGTCACCCTCACAGGAAAGAAGTTCTTCCTCACATGGAGATGGAACTTACTGTGTTTCAACCTGTACCCATTATTCCTTGTCCTGTCACTGGACAGAAATCAGATCATTTGACTTTAACAGTTCCCTTTCATATATTCCAAAGGACATAAAAGCAAACCTTGCATTGCTCTTCTAAAAAGGAGCACAATAATATGTTATATTCAATTCTGTTGGATGAAAAATCAAAGCCAGAATCTGTTTAATGAAAAATCGAAGGCAACATTTTCAAAATGAAATATTTAAATTCAGAATTTCAGAGATAATCAGTATATGCAACTTCTGTTAACTGCAGAATCAAGCCTAGGTAAATTTTAAGCAATAATTCTAACAAAATAAAATCATTTGATGATTGCTGATTAACTGACACATTTAGAAACAAGATAATTTTATATTTTGGTTCTCAATGATTTAATTCTGACTCAATTTTAATATAGTACCTGAGTTAAAAAGGATTTAAACAAGAATTTGAAGATAAAGATTTATAACCCCCTATACAGTATCTTATACCTTTCATGACCATTATCATTTATCATTACACCTTGTCTTACACTCTCCCATTTCTTGCTGAGTTCAGCTGAATTTCAGGGCTATTCCTGAATATATATCATGTAGTACTTAATAGTGTGAATGTTCGTGTTAAATGAACAGGAGCAAGCACAATGTCTGATAATATTTATGGCACCCTGTAGCACGTAACGTTTCTAGTCTGTGAGCAAGTCTGTTTTGTATTTAATAACTTGAAAGCATTGCACCCAGAAAATCGAGCCATGCAGCCTAAGGTTTACATTTTTTGAGTTAAATGGTATCGTGTAAACAGTGTAGGTACAGAAAATAAGAAAGGGCATTCAGCCCATTCAGGTCATTCTGTAGAATCTGCTCTTTGGTGCATTGTTTTTGTTAATTAGCTAGATTGTATTGTAAATATGTTTATGTATTTTTGAAAAGTTTGTCATGCTGCTTTTTTTCTTATTTTCCCTGATATTTATATAGCTATAAAAATGTTGTTCTTACTGTATTTTAGGGTCTTCTTAATAATGAAGGCAATTATTAGGAATTGCATATATTCCAATAGATTCGTTATTTGTCATCTGAACAGTTATTTTTCCTGACCAGTAAGTCATGTGCTCCTTGAGACAGGAATTATTGGTACATTCGTATGAATAGGAAAGCCTCATTTTGCTGCACTTACTGAGTTCTACCACCATAGACTATGATAACAATAATATTTTAATTGAAAATTAATAGAATAGGTTCCAGATTCTCAGTGGGTGTGAATCACCTGTTTTTCACCAGCTAAGAAGCTGACCTAAAGCATTTTAGCAACTAAGATTATCAAAGCAACTGTGATGATTGTCAAATACTATGGAGTGAGGACATACTCAAAATAATATTTCTGATGCACTGTAATAATAATGCTATAAAGCTTACTTTGTCATGAAATAGGATATTTTATGTTGCACTGTTTTATGAATTTTACAAATAAACTTTCAATTTATTAAAGTGGTAACATGAATTTCTGTTGGGAGAGCATGGCAGATGGAACTTTTTTTTTGTTTTCCCTAAACTCCATCCTCCTGTTTGATGTTTGGCTTATATTATCTCTGGTGGTTATATTATCTCTGTGAATAATCATGTACATTGCCATTGAATGAGGGTTCTTATTATTTGAAGCTCCTAATATATAATTGGGGTAAAATTGCGATATGAAAATAATGAACACAATAAGATCAATGTATGTAAATATCAAATTTAGAATTTCACTTGAAAATAACTGAATGCAGAAGTATTTTCAGAAGTTGTACAACATGACACCTGAAAATCGTCCCATTTATCATCACCTTGCAGACCTAGGGGATGCTGCAGAGGGGCACCGGGCTAATTACGGGGTGCTGGGGAACAGTGTTTGGGGACTGCACAAGACTTATGGGATGGTTAGGGGAAGGGCCAAAGGTGGAGAAAGGGAGGAATCGATGTGGTTTGGGAAAAACAAGCACAGAAAGCAGGGGGATAAGGGGACAAAGGGGCTCTGTATGTGAGCAGGCAGCTGGGCAGTGTGCTTGCCTGGCCATGCCCAGGGGATCATCAGTGCAGCCTGTACAGCCTTCTTGCAAAACCCATTTCTAGCTATTTTCCTGGGAGGAGGGCTCTATTCTGTGTGCATGGGTGTGCGTGGAGGCCCAAGAGCCAGCAACAGAGTGGGACCCAACTCGTGGGTCCCATGGTGATGCCTGGGTGCCATCGCTGGTGCAGTGTGAATTTTATTTTTCTTTCTTCAGGGCTATCATATAGAATCCCTGCTGAAGGCTGGAAAAGCATCCTTTCACATAACCAAATAATTTAGGTATTTCTGCATAATACAGTGTAGACACAGCACTGAAAGAACAGCACAGCAAAAACAAGATTTTTTTCTCCTGTTTTTCAAAGTTGATTACCTTGATTAGAAGCTATTTTCGCAAATGAAAATGAATAGCCTTACTAAAACGTGCAGCTGTAACAGCCATCACTCCAAAGGGCCTGCAATTTAATAGGCAGTTAATGAATAGGAAGAGGAAGCATTAGCAATATTGCGGGTTTTTGGTATTTGTGTTCTTTTCTTTTCCTTTCTTTTCTTTTCCTGTGGCTCCTGCGCCACAAGGTGGTGCCATCTAACCAGCTGTGTCAACATCTTTGTCCTTCATGTGGCTTTGCCACTTAAGTGGCCAGATAGAGAAGGATAAATGAGGAATTTAAGCTATGCGTGTATAAGCTACTGCGTCCTCCTTTATGTCTCATTATCTCCACAGAACTCAGCGGCTTTACAGCCATGACGCCTCCTTCCTCTTACCCTCAGAACGCCAAAATTAGAAAGTTGCAGAGCGGCCAAGGGGAATCTTATGTACTGCCTTAGAGGCAGGTGATTTACTAAATAAGTCCAAGCATTAATAAATAAATAAATAAATAGAAATAAACACCTGCAGCCTCATTTTGCTTAAAAATGTATGTGAATGCATTAATTTATTCCAGAACATGAGCTTGAGGCTTGACCATCAGACTAAGGAAGACCTGTGTTTAGCTAACTGAAAAGGCAAGTCTGAAAAAAACCTTTATCACTGTGTGATCAAACATTGTTTTTGAATACTTTTCACCTGTGTTCAGCTGGGCTGGTGATCACCAATTTAGCGTTAGATGAAAAATCTGCAGATCTCACACGACGTCTTCAAAGGTCTAGTCCCAAACACTGCCAAATGTCCTGTCTCCCACCCAGTTTCTTTCAGATTTAGGTTGTCACAGCTTTGTCAGTCGGGAACCTGTTTAACCAATATGTGAAGCCATGGCACCTCCTTTAACAGCAAAATAGGAATTAGCTGCCCGCTAACGCCTGTAACGGCGCGGCTGCCCTCACCGCCATTAGCGGGCCAGGGCGTGAACTCCCGCCCGCCGTTGCCATGGCAGCGCGGCGCGTCCCGTAATGGCGGCGGCGCTGAGGCGACCATGGTGCGCAGTGAGTGTCGCGGGGTTAAAATTGGCTGCTGAAGGGAAGATGGTTGTTTAGATGCGTCCAACCTTCCCCTGCCCTCTCCAAGACACTTATTTTTCCGAATAGGTTAACTTTATGTGAAGGTAGGGTGTTATCAGGGCATTATCATTTGCCCAAAATACAATAAAAAAATAATTCTTCTGAGAAATCTCTGTGAGACAAATGGTAAGATGAAACTAAATAAATAATAAAAGGAGTAACATTATTTCCCCAGATATATAAGGCAGCTGTCAGCAACATTCACCATACTCTATGGTTAAGGGAGATTCACTAGTCCCAAATGCAAGTCATGACTACTTAAATATTCTGTAAGTCATGTGTTGTGGGGGAATCTGTCAAACAGATCTGCTAAAGCAAACAGACTCTTTTAGCAAGGGGGATCCAACCAGGGTCATCCTAGCCTGTGTAAATTAACCTTTTTCACCCCTTGCTCTACAATTGTAGATAGAGAGGCTAAATTGAAACATGATTTTTGGCTGTATTGTTTCAATAAAATTGCCATTCCATGACAGTAAATAATAAAAATGGGCAATTTGACAAAACCTCCCTGAGATAAATAAGCCAAGAAAGAACAATTTTATTTAATTGCTTGGAAGGGATTATTTGTTCTTACATATCTCTATATGTGCTTTTAACTTTATTTTTCTTCAGAGTACTTTTGAAGGGCTTTCCAATCTTCTGTAGGTATTAACAGTCATGAAAATAGCTATGGTAATTTCATTAAATCCCATTTTTTCAATCAATATTACACTCTAGTACATTGTTTTTCAGGGAGATAAAAAATGCAAGTGCTTTTTTGGTTCAGTGGGCTGGAAACAAAGTAATAGCATCTACTGCAAAACTAAGCCCTGTTCTCACAGAATTATTATTATTAACTTTCATTATACAGAGGCTCTTTTTTGCTTGAAATATTTCCCAGCACTAAATACTGCTGTATGAAAATTCTGAAACAAGGTCTCTGGTTACTTTTGGTCACTGAAACTCTTTTGCTTGCTGCTAATGACCTCATAGCATCCAAAAATTACCTAGGATTAATTTTTTTTCCCAACAGAGACAGTTATAAGCATGAATTAGTTGTGGCTTCTCCTTAGACAAGAAAAAAAGTTAAAAATATCTGTCCACTTTCAGCATTCATCCAGCTTATTTCAGTGCATGATTTGGTCATGGAAGCACCCCATGTAGCTATTTTACTTTGTTTTTTGCTGCTACCTGTGATGTGAACATCTGGCACAGCAAAATAAAAGGCCAGAAAGCACTTCACTGCTTGTCTACATTAATCAATCTTCAACCTGAAGTATACTGAAAGTAATGAATGCTCAACTCATTTCTGCAACAGCTATATTGTACTCTTGGAAGACTCAGCAGTTTTCATATAGATTTTTGAATGTGTCAAGTAACCTCAGGGTGTTTTACAAATGAGGTATGTTGTGGCAGGATGGGCTAAAGTGACCTGGTGCTTGCTGTCTCATGTAGCAGGTTTTATTTCCATTGGTATTTTTACTGAACCCCTCTTTAGTATGACAAAAGATTTATTTGATGTTATTAAGACATGTGAGGGAAATATCTAAAAGGAGATTCTTTTCCCCAGCAACTTCTAATATGTCTTTCAGTCACTGAAGATCTTGTTAGAAGACGTGCAGAACATAACAACTGTGAGATATTTTCACTGGAAGAAATCTCTTT